TTTTGTCTGATAAATAGTCCAAAAGCCAAAGAGCTTCAGCTTAAACTATCAAAAAATGGTAAAATCAGCCAATTCACACATTTGAAAGACTAGAACTGTTGGATATTTGGGATATTTTTCATGAAATAAAGACTTTAAAGACAGATTGGTTCATCACCAAAGACAAAAAAATCTAAAATAATCCAAAATGCCAACTTTAGAATTTAGATTTTAAGGATTTTTTTGTTTTTTTGTCAGCTTTACACCAACATTTCACAGAGAAATCTTGTGTAAAATAGGACCTGATTCCATTTTTTTCCCCTGCAGAAGCTTCAATCGACTGCAGTCATGTTGCTGTCATTACTTCCACCTAAATGAGCTACAGGTGAACACACCTGATCTCTGAGAGCTGCTCGAAGGGAAATGGTGACAGTAAGAATTTGTTTTAGAACATGTGAGGAAGTTTAGAAATCGCTTATGATTGTCAATATTGTTGAATGTGCAGGTTGTATGCTTAATTAATCAAATTATCTTGTGACTTTTTGTCAGACAAGCACAGAAAAGTGACCACGTTGGCATCTTTAACTTCCTTGTTCTGTCTGAAAATCCCAAACTACTCAGTTTTTGATCAAATATGTAAAAAAGCAGCAAAATCTTACATTTAAGAAGCTGCAGTCGAAGAAGATTTGCTTCAAAGAGGAAAGCCTACAGCTCTGTCAGCCTGCGTTCAGTTTGCTGTTTACTCTGACTGAGTAGCTGACAGTCCTCCAAACACGTGTCAAAGCGGGTCAGTGCAGATCTATTAAACGTTTTCTGGTATCGTCCAGGAGAGACGCCTCCCCACAGGCCGAACCGAGCCGACAGCAGCCCGATCAGAGATGACCTCCGAATAGCTGGCATTCCTCAGAGGGAGGACGGGGGGGCGGCGAGGCTACTTCCTCCAAAGGTTGAACATGGAAATGATTGTTTGCATTGTTGCTGACGTTGGACTCTCTGTGTCTGAGGCTGAAATGCCCACATTGTAGTCTGTTTCCCCGCTGACCGTTTTCAGATGTTAATGTCTGGCTCACGGTGCGAAGGCAGCGGGGGGGAGGCAGCGCCATTCACTGGAGCTCTTCATGCTCTGAAAATACTGCACAGGAGCAAAATCAGACAATCCTGCACCTAAATGGACTGAAAAAATGCGACACCGCAGTGGGAGAGCACTGTGACTTTTAGCAGGCTGCAGATAATAAATCTCCCTGATTGGAAAAAAGCAAGACGGAGAAGCTACTTTACTGCAAACTTCTTTCAGGGGAATACAAATGTCTCTTGGCCACAGTGCCGCCCCCCCGAACCAGCTCAGAAAAGAAAAGGCTCATTAACAATGTAAAGGGGCACCTTGAAACAATCATGTGCATCTTCTGAACAACCTTCCCATGCACCATCGCCTGGAATGCTCTCATTCTCACGGGGCGCTCCTCGACCTCCCATCCCCCCCCACAATACAACCAACTCTGTTTGCCCTCTCGTTCCCCCCACAACTTCCTCTCTCTTTCATTTTCTGCAGGCCCTTTCAGCATCACAGATCCTCCTCCTCCTCCTCCTCCTCCTCCTCCTCGCTCCCAGAACAATGTCTGCTGCTGCTCCTCCAGCTCCCCTCGCTGTTGGACCAGCGCCTGGAACCTGAACCCGTAAAAACAGAAACACTTTTGGCTGCAGTCTGGGTTCACCTAATCACTCTTCGCTGCGGTCGTGAGGCTATTTCTGCAACGGTTACATCAGCTGCGAAGGAATGAGTTAAAAGGTTGTGGAAGTCTCTGGGTGTTTACCCTCCAAAAGTTGTGTCACAGCCGTTTAAAGGAATAGTTTGGCACTTTGAGGGAAAGTCACGTCTGGTAAAAACTTAGATAAGAAGACGTGTTGAGGATGAAACTGCAGTTAGCTTAGCATAAAAGCTTGAAACAGAAGGAAACTGCTACCAAAATCCACTGTTTAGCCTCTCTAAGCTTCAGTAATTAACACTCTATATCGTTTAACCCTCTGAAACCCAGCAGTGTGTGGACTTTTTTTTTCTTCATTTTTCATTGCAACATGAAGTCCTGCACCTCCTATGAAAGCAACCACGAAGAAGAAGCGAGAACGCAGACCTGCTAAGTCCGACACAAAGAAAAAACTAAAGTTGAATTTCTTTGATGATTTATTTGAAAAAGATTGAAAAAATCTGTAACTAAACTGGACAGAAGTGTTCACTCGGGGAAAAACATGGCTCCACATCCTGTAGATATTTTACACTTTAATTAGTTTCCATCCTGTCTCTGTATGAACACTGCCTGCAGTTCAGCCGAAAAAGCCCAAGAATGTCTGTGATGTGATGCAGCTCACAGCTGAGCAGTAACGGCTTCACGGCTACTCACAGATCTGCTGCAAACGGTTTGTTCTTGTCGAGGAAAAAAAGCGATTCAGATGGAATATGTGTTTCTTGACAGAGCATCAAGTGGTGGATGATTAGTTCAAGGACCATTGGAAAATTGAAAACCTGAAGAATTCTTTCTGTTCTGCAGCTGTGACACAGTTTTCGAGCCCATCGGTGGTTTTGCGGTTCAGAGGTTTAACGTGTCAGATTATTCTCTACACTGTCTCACCCGGCTGCTGGCTGTAGTTTTATATTAACTTGACCCTCCGTTTTTTTGCATTCCACAAACAAGCTATTGTGTGTTAAATGATTTTGTTACTTGTGGACCAGGCTAGCTGTTTCCCCCAGTTTCCAGTCTTTATGCTAAGCTAAGCTAACTGTGTCTTCATCGCACAGATATAAGCTCACTCTTCTCATCTGACGCCAAACATGGAAGCAAATAAGCGAATCTGCCAAAGCTTTTCCTTTAAACTGCCTCCAGTCTGTGTGTCTGTGTGTTTCGTGGAAGAGGTCCGTCTGCGTTGGGACCCTTCAGGGGGGATTATCTGCATTAGCTGACCTATAGCAGACAAACCTCCCCTTCACACCTGAACACCTGTTGGAAACCATCTCTGGCCTGCTCAGCCTGCAGCGCCTCACCTCAGGTCATGTGACCGCAGGGCGACGTGGTTAAGCTTCTGTTGAAACATTACCGCCCTCCGAGGAAGGGAGCGCCTGATATAGCTGTGAATAGCTGACGGCGGCTGAGATGTGACGCCGGACGCCGCAGACTTTGTCACTATTTAACAGGCTGATGGAGGAGTGCGAGCGGCTGAAACTCGATAATCTCAGCAGTGACGTCCAGCCTCCTTCCTCTGGCAGCGTTGCATAACGCAGGTATGTTTATTATAAGCAAAGAGCAGCAGCTCTCACTATCTGGCCTGAATGTGGCAAACAAAGACGTGGAGCCGGAGCTCCTCTGCACACTGACAACAGCCTGGATCACATTTGTTAGCATCCACTATCAGTCCTGATGTTCTGGATGAACACAGTGACCACAGAGACCTGCTAGAAGTAGAGGCCTGGCTTCACTCTCTGGCTTCACGCCCAAACCATCACCCTGGTCTCTGTGGACTGTGTACTTAACAGGACAATGAGTCAGACTGCATGACGCAGTTCAGCAGCGTGCACGCCCTCCACAAGCGTGCACGCCCTCCACTCACAACCAAACCCTGCTGAACAGTGACACCAGGCCCAGCAGCAGCTGAGATGAACTGCACAGCTTAATGCTTCGACTGTCAGCTCGAGAAGCGCAGCCAAACCTCTGGCAAACAGCAGCTTCACACTTGAGAACGCAGCCAGTGAAAACCTGGATCCACTGGACTCCAAAACCCGAAAGTCACGACTCAGTCGAGCCTTTAACGCGGCGAGGAAGACCTCAGAGCGTGAAGCAGACAATAAAGGACAGAAGGCAGGAGGTGACGAATGGTGCTCAAGTTCAATCACATCCAGAGTAAAATCAAAGCTTCATGTGTGTGTGATGGAGCCGACACCCAGCTGCAGCATCCGTCGCCAAACAAACCCTCAGATTAACAGTGACGGCGCAGACGGAGCCTCTGATTGGCTGCACGCTGAGTTAAAGAGCAGCTGATGAGTTCAAAGTGAGCGGACTTTCTCTCTAACATCTGTAACTGCACAAATCGTGTGAATAAATATAGAGACTTGATGATCAACAACAGCTTTTAAAGTCATTTTTTAACAAAACTAAAAATCAGATTCAAGCATCTCTAATGTTAATATTTCTGATTTCTCTGATAGTATTTGATTTAAAACGCCACCACGAAGCAAAAACACAAAACACACGATGAAACAAACCAAACTAAAGCAGAATACAACATCAAATCAAAGGGTTATGCATTAAAGCCAACTATAGCACAGGATAAAAACACTTTAAGATAAGGAATATGTCTGGGTTTGTTGAAATAATCAGTGAAACCAAAGCAACGAACAAAAAAAGTGACTTTATCCACATCTCCAGTCCTGAATCTGTGCTACATATAACCGTTTCCAAACAAAGCCGAAGCCTCAGGTTGAGCAAACAGTAATAAATGTTTGTAAATGTTTAATTCCTGCTCGGTGGTACCCAGACTCAGTGAGATGTTTTTACCAATTAACCAAACTCTGTAGTCCCCTTTCAAGTAATAATAATCAATATTTGCATGTTTCAATGTGCAGAATGAATTTTTTTTTTTCTGTGTTCTGCCATTAAACAATGAAAATAATGTGCAGACTAATCAATAAGGAAAGCAGCTGCAGCCCGGAGTCACTTTCTGTTCCTATTAGTGCTCCTGGAGGAGGAAGGAGGCAGCAGGAGGCAGCAGGAGGCAGCAGGAGGCCACCCCGCTGGTCCTCCTCCTCTCTCCTTACGCCCCTGTCACACAGACGTAGCCTGCAGATATGAAAAGATGGATCCAACAGCAGCCGGAACATTTACTCACAAACGTCCAACAAGAACCGAACCGAGAACCGCCTCTACGCTTAACCAGTCGGTTCTCTGGCGTTACTGACAGAAGTTGTGATGAAAGTTTCCAGCCGCCACGTCCACTGACAGAAACGCGGATCTGATGGCAAACGGCGCGTCACTCACTTTGTACTTCATGGTGCAGCTTGTGTCTGGGACTCCGGCAACAACAACAAAAAAGTGAAAATATCCGCTTTAAGGCGACGAACGGCGACTCATCTGAAGGTTAACACGCCATGCACAGATCCGAGCACGGAGCGACACAGTCTGGGTCCGGTCCGCCGCTTTCTGCGCCGCTACGCCGGACTGCTGCTCACCACACCGCCGCTCCGCCTCATTTACATACCGGCCCGCTGATTGGTCGGGAGAGACGGTCTGACTCCGCCCCCCTCCCACTGCTCCGTTCAACAGTGACGTCATTATCACGATACAACCGGAGACGTAGTAAACGATTAAAAAAATAAAAAATACAGTAGATTAACTATTGTTATAAATAGACTGAGAATAACTGAAGCCCTCTTACAGCACATGTAGTAAAATACATGTAAAAATTAATAGTTTGTTATTAAAAATATTTTGAAATAAACCGAAATATAACCTTCAAAAAGGATTTTTTTTTTACATTTATTTTACATATAAACTTATTTTTAAAAAATGCAATTTCTTTCAAAAAAATTAAAAACTTAAACCTCCAAAAATATCTTAAGTAAATAAAAATTAATCCTCAAATAAAAAAGATTTATGCACAAAAATAAACACCTACCAACTTCATAGAAATAAAACAACATTCCAAAAAAGAAATTTAATTTAAAAAATACAGTTTAGAAAAATTAAATAAAATACAGTTTAATATATATAAAAAAATACATTTTAAAAATTAAATAAAAAATACCCCCCCAAAAAATTACAATTAAACCTATTTTTAAAAAATAGATAAGAATTTATTTAAAATTAATAAAAACATAAGCCTCAAAAAATATTTTAGATAGATAAATATATAATCCTGAAAAGATGTAATATATGGTAGGAAAAAAGGTGTAATTTTTAAATATAAAATGAAGCTTTTTTTTTTTAATACAATGAAATAAGTGCATCCAACTAAATTAAGTTATTTTTTTTATTTTTTTTAAATAATGTATTTTTCAAAATTTACTAAACGAAGCTTCCACAAAAAATAAAATAAATAAAAAAAAAATTGTGAAATAAGAAAAGGCCCCTTAAATGTATTAAATTATAAATGTAAAATTCTGAAAAATCATCACAGGTATAGTTAATTTTTAAAAATTTTTTTTAAAGTATTTTCTTTTATCAGTGGTGATGAAATTGAGGGCCTGTTTCCATCCACTACCATAGTTATCAGAGTATCAGGTGCTGGTTTGTTGAGCTAAACAGTTAATATAATAACAAATTAAAGAGTTCTAGTCAAACCTCAAAAGGTATTTGTGGCACAAAATCTTTTTTCTTTTTTCCATAGATGAATAAAAGCGGCTAATTCAGGCGTCGCTTTAAACAGCTAAAAGCAAAAAACAAATGTGGTGTTTTATTGGCCCCTGTTTAGTCCGTGTAATCTGTTTTTATCAGCCTTTCATTGTTATTAGCCAATTTTTATTTGCCTTAGTGGTTGCATGTGAAACACTTTTAGTTATTGATGCTGTTATTAATAACAAGAATATGTTTATTTATTCTGTTGCTTTGGGGAAAGTTACAGTCTCATCAGTCAACGCTCATTTTGTATTTTCATCTGCCGCCATGTTTTGGAAGCTTCAAAATTACAAACATAAAGTCAGAGTTTTCTGAGCTAACTATCTTTGCCATCTTTTATCATGTTGGCTCCTCTTGACAAAGTGACATACGGAAGCTGTTTACGTGGGTTGTGTTGTTAATTACTTGCTGCGCCTGTTCCAAGAAGGTTTATTGAGAGAAATCGTGTGAGGAGAGCGACATGCTGAGAATGAATCGACTTTACTGGAACTGCTAAATATATTTGAGCTATTATAGTGTTTTTATTTTACATGAACTCTCTGATTTGCATATCAGGAAGTTCAGGCGGTAAAAAAAAGGGAGCTGGTTGTTTTCTCAGAACCTGTAAAAGCCTGAGTGTGAAGGAAGTGCCATTATGCAGCATGTTTGTTTGCTCTGAAGAAAATTGCAACACCCAGTGAGAGAGCTTCTGACCTGCTTCCTTACACCTTCATCCTCCTCTTCCATGAATACATGAATAAATCCATTAATAACCTGAACTTGGCTCTTGTCTCGCCCCAGCTGCGCTGCACAGCTCAGGACACCTAAACATGTCCTTAAACATGCTTTAGTTTGCATGAACAGCGCTTTACCGCACATGCATTTATTCAGCCGGTGAAATGAGATTTAGGCGTGAAGGACACCCTCATACGGCGCTATTAGCAAAACATGCTTTTCAGATCCAGCGACGATCGATAAATGCCGAAATTTGTTTCATACGATTTGAAAAATGTCAACTCGTCAGTTTGTGTTACCTGAAACGTTCTCCAAGTAATTCAAAGAAACTGATGACAAAGCAAAATAATAAATCCACAGTATTTGCTGTATAACGACATAATGGCAGAGGTGAGATGTTATGTTCTGAACTGTTGAAAGTGGAGCAATCATCTGTGTTTCATCAGCTGATCATTCATAAAGTAACACGTTAATAAAGTATGAAAAAAGTTTCCCCATAAAACTGTATTGAAACAGTGAATTTTCACAAACTAAATGTGAACTCTGAGGTACTTCCCAACACTCTTCTAATCACTGTGGAGCTTTATGTTACTGAGTTATTCACTTGTAGATATGAGCACGACTTATTAAAAATTCAACTCATATGTCGTTAAAGACCATAAAGTTATAAAGATGACTTTACAGGTTGTTTTTATGCTCACCTCGACTCGAGCGACGAGCGTAGATGCAGCCGAGACGTCTGCTCAGTGTCTAATGGAGGTGAGAAGAAACACCCAGTGAAGCTGTCGAACGCAGGAAAGCCTTCCTCTCGCTGCTCACACCTCTGCACGCTGTACAAGATGTGCATCTCATGTAAACCACAGATAAAACGGGCCTCGTGTGGGTCTGTGTTTGGTATTGAGGCTGTTTTCTGTGGGCCCGCCTGCCATCCCGGGGCTGAAATCTCCTGTAATTAGCTTGCCTCTCATGTGTTTCCGAATGCTCTAATTTGTGTCAGCTAATTTATCACAATCACAGGGCCTCCATCGGCTCTCATTGTCCCCTGTGAGCAGTCATATCCTCAGATGAATGCCTCTTGTAAGGGCACTCAAAACACTCGTTTGTGTAATATACACCATGCCCAGCTGGAGCCTATTCTCTGAGCCACAAGTGGGCACGGGGGGCTATTCTTTTCTGTGCATGGCGTGTGATTATGTGCATGCGAGCACCTGTTTCCTATGACAAACAAAACTCATTTTCCCATCTGTTTATATCAGCGCCTGGAAGAAAGCAGCCTGAAATAAGCCAAAAAAGGTTGTTTATCCCCTTTTCACAACATTTGGCTGCGCCCAATGAGTCCATTAGTCTTCCCTCTCCAGTGGCGTGTCATTTCGGCTGGTTTCTGCTCGAGCCCGACATGCATTATCGGCTTGTTGGTGGAAATGAGAGCATTAGAGAGCCTCTCGCAAAAACCGTCCTCCGCCAGCTTGAGTCGGAGCCCAAAATCCTGCTCGTGAATCTCGGCGGAGAAGTCAAACAGTCAGCGGCCAAAAGGGAAGATTTGCGCTGGCATTCGGGGCCCGGGGTCGCCATGACAACCGCCACCACGGCTGCAGTATTTGCGCCCTCACACCTACTGTAGTGCATTCACGGAAAGAGGTCTCTGGTCTTTGTGAGGTGCAAAGGGCCTCTGAGTCTTATTACAGCGCATTTCAGCACGGAAATAGGCGGTAATAGTGCGAGTGAAAAACGAGCCGGCCGCCTTTCATCTCCGCCAGGTGTCTGTGATGTCTGGGTTACATAAGCTCCCCTGCAGACCTGACCCCAGGTTTCAGAGGCCATACGTCTTCCATAAGTGCAGCTCACAGGGCCGAGCTGGCTGCTGCTGCTGTGGGTGGACGGACGGTAGCAGGAGGCGTCGGTAGCCCCTCGCCGCTCCCTGTGAACTCTCGTCCCTCAAACTCTCGCAAACCGGCTCAGGCAGATTTATGGAGCCGCCGCCACCCTTGTTGCTCAGGCTGGCGAAGCCCCCCCCGGCTCGTCCTCAGCACCTCGGGCAGCCTGGTGGCCGAGCAGCAGCACAGGAATGTACAAAACACACAAGGCAAGAAGGCCGGTGAGAAAGTATGAGTCCCAGCAGTCAACAGCTCCGTCTCCAAACAGCCGTTCTGTGTGGGCAGGAACTAGAAACTGAATCTGAATCATTTACATTTGAGTTTCTGGTTCATGTAAGTTGTTTTATTTGTTGGCTGAGTCACTCTTTAAATCTTCTTAAACATCTTCATTCAGAGTTTAGGGGCCAAATGCAGAAAAAACATCTTTCTGTGTTATGACAAGTTCCTAAAAGCGTAACTTTTACAATAACAGCATTTTGTGCAGTTTTTGCTGAAGTTTGGGGCAGAAACTGGTGAGTCATTTATATCTGACTTTGAATTTCACAACTTGAGAAATGTAAATTTGAATGTCATGATTTGACCTTTTAATTCCAGTACAAGCCCAGCAGCACAACTTCTTTGAACAGAAGAAGTTGATTTGAAAGTTCATCTTAGCCTGCTTGTTGTCTTAGCTCGCTAAAAACAGGTCAGCTTGTACGGATCCTTCAGTCCCTGGTGTTGGCCTCATGCTGCCATTTTGTCTTCACGTTTTGCATCCTCCATGTTTAAATCATGCTAAAGTTAGATCAGCTGAAAAGGAGTTCTGTGGATCTGCACTGGATGGCTCTTCCTCTGTGACCCACAGTGTGACGGAACAACTAAGTAACTAAATTTACTTTCAAAATATTACATCCGGTGTCAAGTTTATTGGAATTCGGATTCAATTTAATATATTCAAATTGAAATTATGAGGTTCAAATCTGGATTTTATTACAATTTTTCAAGTTGAGGAATAGAATTCAAATTAAGATTCAAACTCAAATTGTTATTAGAATTATTCAAGCTGAGGAATCAATAAATATTGTAATAATAAATGTGTAATATTGACAGCATATGTAATAATCTGTCTAAAGTGCTACTGAACAAACACATCTACAGACTCGAGGCAAATCTTGACACGAAACAAGGCCTGTTTCACGAGTTTATTTTTAAAAATAATTCTGTTGAACCACGGTTCAAAAGCAATATCTGA